GATTGTTTATTGCTTTTGATTTCACGGTGTTGTGAGTTTGTGTGCCTAGTTCTATTCTTTTAGAATGGAGGACGTTTTTGCTGAAAATTTTGGAATTTTATTTTCAAAATAAAGCGAATCTCTCTCTCGACGTGCTTATCAGGAAGCGTGATCGGTGTAAATTGTTTGTAATAAAGGTGAAACGTATCCACAGTTCGGCCGTCGGCTTCGACTAGGTCCACTGTGTGCTCCATGGCAGGGTGATGTAGGTGAACGCCTTTTGCTTAATGTTGGACAAACCGTGAATCTGCAATCTCAGAAGTAAGACTGAAAGTCAAGCTGTAGGGACGGCACAGAAGAAAAAGCCCCAACGGCGCTGAAAACGAGCAAGTTGGTCTGAGTTGAATGCGAATAAGGCTCCAGAATAAAGTGGACGTCCAAGTATTCAGAAACCATGCTTGTTGGTCAAGGAAAGAGCGGTTGCGGTAGTAAGAGGCTGTCCTTACTGGGAACCTGTGCCGGACGCGACTTACGTATCATTTATACCATCTTTAGGCTCCTAAATCGAAAAATATCATGGATGCACTCTTCATCCAGAGCTTTAAAAAACGGAGCAAGAGAAATCGGGGCTACACACATGCACAATGTACCCATGCAGCAACGATTCTGCAGATGTTCTGGTGAATAACTGTAAGCAACCTTCTCTGGATGAATCAAATTCTAAAAGGGTAAGGGCTCTGGATAGGGGGCAGCTTTAGTTAAGTCTCGGGAATTTTCCCTATTCATCGAATACGTTAAGGCGCGGAGTTTTCAAATATTCATATTTTCCAAAAAGGAGCTATAAACTTCGAAACCTAGGTCAAAACGAAGTGAAGCATGTTAAAATACCAGAATAGTACTTGAAAATAAGGCCATTCTTCGTAAATTTCTTTCACCTGCAACTTTGAAGACACTTGGCTTTGAAATTGGGGCAAAACTGTTTGGGGCTAAGCCTATACCTGTTGATTATTTCCATGTTCGAAACTGTCGGTGAGGAATGTGTGCCAAATGTCAGGGAATATGCCCATGACGCTTCTTAGATAAAATGTGAAGAGGAATGCCGATTTAAGGATAAGTTCTCGTAAAAACATGTCGTAACAGGGATTTTAGACGTTGATTCGAACATGCATATGGCTTGAAAGCTTTCTTCAGTAAAGTATTAAAAAAGACATACTGTCTTCAGATCCAGTCCACCAGTGAATATATTGTCACCATCGATTCCTAAATCGCCATCAGCAGGTGATGTCGAGTCTGGATCCGCTACCGCTTCAATTACCTGAAAGAGAAAATGTGGTAGTTCAGCGCTAGTTGATAGTACTCCTCACAAAATGAACGCCAAGGTGCATGGTGAACGGGCTTGCCCCGTCAAGCGTGTGCAGCTTAAGCAATTAAATCGGGTGCTGGGTTCTGTGATCTTAGCGACTGTACTAGCAAAGTCATGAAACTGTGGGATAAAGTGGGTGAGAATGAGAGAGGGGGGAGATCTGACAACACCACGTAAACCACTTCCTCAAACCTTATCAAAACCTGCTGAATAGCGTGCATGAAATCGTTGCTCATCAGTTATGGGAGCACGCAGAAGGCAATTAAGATACTACTCCTTATCTGAAGGTAGTTAAAGGGTTCCGAGCTAAACTCTGGAGTACTAATTTGCGGTAATATGGACTAATGCTTCATGCGCACTTACTGGCATTGTATTTAATGGGGATAGGGGCTAAGCTTGACATTAATTTGATCCATCTAAATGAGTCATAAAAACAAACTGGTTCGTTCGAAGATGGTCCGTAAAGAAGAATGGCTAATTACCCACCACTTAAGGCATGAAGTGTGCGTGAAGAGTGCTGGAATTCAAAACCCAAAAATAGTGAATCAGCAAGCGACGACTCGCGGTGAGTCCAGATATTTTCGGTATGGAAACAACTTAAGACTTTAAGCCACGACGGAATAGGCCTAAAATGAGGCAACTGCTTCAAACAAAGTGAAACAAAGATTCAAACTGAAGCTGAAAAAAGGTAACTAAAACTTTCTAAGATCAGAACATGTGTGCCTACACCCGCAAACCAGCCGGGTCAATTTTGTCAGTGCCTTGGAGATATGGGGCTTATCTGCCTTTGGCTTCATCCACGACTAGATCAGAAAGGTCCCAACTCCCAGCCTCTGTTCTCAAGTATGTTTTCGTACTTAAACAATTGGCATTTCGGTTGATTCTCCTAACAAAGTTCCAACGTCTTCCTCCCAATTTGTCTCTGAGTCTTCGATCTTCAGTACTGCCAGAGTTCAACTGTAAGACGACTGACCATAATTCAAACGTGACTAGGGGCAATAGTTATACGAAAAATGCTCATGACTTTTGACGAAATCTAAAGATTTGGTCAAGTTTAGCGTATAGCAAGCAATATCTAGATAATCATCGTACCCAATAAGACAGTGGTAATGACAGTAAAACTGATTTAGCGACACATACCTAGTCGATGAATTAATCAATGCTGAGAATATTACTCTTCTCAAATTGCATATTCGACCAGGATAGGGCACACATAGAGATCCCTGACCTTCACATTGGAGTGCACATATCCAAACACATTGGGGTTAAATTTTCAAGTGGGCAGAGTAGAGACGACAGCCTCGCAGGAATCGATGTTGCTAGCTGGACTCTTGCTATCATTTGGGTGTGCCAGTAGACTCATTGCAGAATCCTCATTGCTAAAAATATGTACACTAGACGCCCTATCTTATTAAATTATAAACAACATTCGGAAGTATGTTTTCGTTTCAAAAAGATAACTTGAGTAGGATGGTAAGATTGATGCTCGTGCAGCATAATTCCAATATATATTCGTCATACCAGGATACCGGCTCATGAACAAGCTTCCTTTCGACTGTTTGCCAAAACTGCAGCCTGTAACTACGATTACTCAATAAGTATGCTTTTTTCCTTGATTTTCGACGCCCTTATAAATTCAAATATATTTCGCAAAAAAACACGCACGAAAATATTTTTATGTACTCAGTTGGTAGTAAGTAACGCCTTTTTTTCAAATTTTATGCTTGAAGGAGGAGTATATTTCGGTTTTAAAACATTTTTTAGTTGCCAAATAATTTTGGAGCCGACCTGCCCTCTTAATTTTATTCAGGGTTTTCAAACTATATGTTGTATAAACTGCATCTGAGGATAATCAAACAATTATATAAGCCAGGAGGGAGATGTCACACAGTCCGTGATGAAAGTCCACCGACCGCTAACGGAACTCGCTTGTCCTGTTCTACTTTGGGCCTCATTTCTCGGACCCTGAGGCTCAAGGCCGAGCGGGACAAGCGAGTTCTGTTGGCGGTTGGTGAAAGTTCATCAGCGAGTGCCAGTATCTCCCGACTTAAACCGGTAAGACAATGACCTCGTAGCTCAATAGTTAGGGCGTTAGACTCTGATCAGACAGATGGCGAGTTCTAGCTTCCAGCGGTGCAGCACTTGGGGCTGGGTATGGCTGGCTGACGACAACTACTAAGTCTCAAATGGGCATTCTAGTCTACCTTGTCTTTGCCGGCAATACTATGTCACACAGTGCTCATAAAATGTGTCAACCGATATAGACCCAGTTATGTGTTTTATAAGCAGCTGGAATAAATTGACAGAGACGATGCTGTATGTGTGGACTATTCGCGGTCTTAAAATATTTTGTCATTAAAAAATTATTGAACAAAAAATACTTTCTTTAATCATAACATTTGAAGAAGACGTAAGCTTCTACGAAGGGAGTGCAAGAAAACATATGGTCGTGAGTGTTTTCTGTAAAATATATTGGAGTTTAAAAGGACACCGAAAATCAATTATATAAGTGCATGCTGCTTAAGTAGTCGTTTTTACGGGTTGTTGTATTTGCAGGCTGCAGGAAGGAAGCTCGTTCGCGAGACAGTATTCTGACGAGACTGAAATATCTTAGGATTAGGCTGCAATGCAAGTAATGTTATAACTCTACTTAAGTAATACTTTCAAAAAGAAAACATCTTTTAGAATTTTGATAAAAATTTCACGAGATTGAATATGTAACGGGCATCTGTTTGGACAGTCCCGCACGATTGTGCATGCCACATCCTGCACGTAGAAAGCAGGCAGAAGCCGGAAGCGTTTCACCGCCATTCTCCGATAACGGCCCACTGCGTGAGGCGCACCAAATTCGTTACATGATAAGAATAGGTCAAGGCGATGTAAGCTGTTTAAGCATGTTCCCTGTCGCACGCCCGACTAGGTCTGGCTGTCTTTCAGCGACTGCGCTGCCCAGCTGGAAGATTCATGAAAGTCAGGTAAACCTTGTTTAGTCGCAGCTTTCCGAAACAATCAAGATGGTTCTTGCAATTTATATATACGGTTTTCGTAGGTTGCAGTGTGTGGGACTCTCCGGATAGGCTTCTACGCCTTGTTAGGCGTGGGGACGGGCCAGCACAGCCTACCGAAGGAGTCAAAGAGGCAAGGAGTATACGCAAGAGGATCAGGATAGGCACTAAGAGAAGCAGGAGTCCCGAAAAATCCTACAAACTATAGGCGAGATTAAAAGAAGCCTACCATGAAATAATCAGGCCTCGAAAGGCATCTGGAAGAGGGAAAGTCTTGAAAGAATTCGCTGAATTCTTTTTATAATCAGAGGGAGGGGGTCGCGACAAATGGCAAATACGGCAACACATGCACAGTTACCTCGTCCTCAGTAGGCAAATCCACAGCCTCTAGCTTCACTGGTGATGTGGCCTTGTTTATTTCGGAAGATGGGGACCACGTCTCAGCGGGTCCAGATTGCTCCTCTAGAGGTTTCACAAAAGTGACGGACTCCGCCTCATTGAGACAAGTTTCACAATTCTTGAGAATGTGCCGCATCAGCTGCAGATCTTCAATGACAAGCGCTGAGATCGCTGAGGGGCCCTGGTCCGGCACTACGCCCATTGCCTTTTCCCGTAGCACTCGAATTCTGTAGTATAAAATAGACGAAGTTGGTGCGCATGATTCACGGCTAGAAAAGACTTCAAAGTTATTAAGGTATAGGCAGATAGTACTGCCGGTAAAGAAAAGGGAGGCTGGAATGACCATTTCTGGCTTAGTAGCCGTTGTCAGCCAGTCATATCCAGCCCCAATTGGTGCCCCACATGAGCCTCGAACTCGCCACCTTTTTTGATTAGAGTCAAACGTCCTAACCATTGAGCAATGAGTTTCGCTTGTCTTTGCCGGCAATACTATGAGCCTGTAATACCGGCTGTTACGGCAAAGCGGGACAGATGAGTTCCTTTTGACGGTCAGGTGAACGTTCATCAACGAGTGATTAAGGAATTCAGAAACCGAATATACAGACCGTGCCCAATCTAGTGAAGAGTTGATCGAAGTTAGGAAATGCATTTTTTCGGTTAGATAGGATTACTTACGCGTGGTTTTAATATAGATCATTGTGCAACAGAATCTGAAGATATCTCAGAAGGGCCGGGAATCCAGGCTTTTAAATGCACTTCTTTTAGGCAGTCTACAGAAACCGTACTCGATAGGACCTGGCTACTTAGGTGCATATTTTATAGAAAACATTTAGAAAATATTCCCTTTTTCTACTCAGTTGGTAGCAACTCGTGTTGTTTTCAACTCTAAGCAAGGTTAACGTTCGGTTTTAAAAAGAGTCTGTAATTATAAGGTTTTATGAGATCGTGCAAATTTCATTCAAATGCGATCGTATTTGTCCGTTTAGTCATGCTCCTTATGACGCTTTCGGCTGAGGCCACATCTATTACCAAGTGTTAGGTAACTTATACGGTACATTCTGACTATGATTTTTTCACGCAGAAAGTATACACCTTGAAGACTTAAATGCTAGATGGCGATGCACAGACAAATCGGCTCCAAGTAAGTCGAGAATTGAAAAAAAACTTCTGAGATCGAAGAATACACTTTTTCGAGTATAAGATGTATTACGGACGTGAGCTGATACCAAATGCGTACAAGGAGGAATGTTCTCATGCGTGTTTTGTATTTATTTCATTTTGTAGGTACACCGGAAACCAATAGAAAAGATGCATTTTAGTTCAGTAGTCGTTCTTGCTGAGTGAGATTACGGCAGGCGGCTAAAAAAAGTGTACTTCAAAGCCGCCATCCTGACGCTTCTGGAATATTTTCGAATTCTGCTGCACAATAATCTACCTTAAAACCCCACTCAGGTAACCCTTTCTAATAGAAAGAAAAAAACATTTTTGAATTTTGGTTAACAGTTCATGAGGCTGGCCACTGACTGTACTTTTGTGCGACTAATAAGTCTTTGATGTGGGAGAAGGCTGCAATATAGGTGCCGAAAAGGATCCGGAAAGAGTACCTCGGGGGGAGGAGGAGGCAAATTTGAAATATCATACAAAACTAAAAGGCTACGGGTTTTAGCGAAACGCTCATTGCATTTATGATGTACTTTCGCCCTAGGCAGAGAACTGGCGCCTGTTCAGAACAACGTCAGTCTCTCAGTCTACGTTTTCTTGTTATGTGAATTTCCTGTTTTGCATCATTCGCCTTAATAAAGTTTTAGTTGGTAGAGCCCACTGACTACGCCAAGGGCCCGACCGATTACCAATTTTACCTATCAATCTGTCTCTCCTATAGGATTTGCCCTGCCACGACAGCAGAACAGTCGATTTCACTAAAAGTAGGCTCTCTTTGAAAGTCCGAGAAAAAGGAATATTGATGTTGGTGGGCCTGGGCATGAATGCAATACTTCGGAGCTAAAAGACCCGACTTCTAGTTGCGGACCAGTAAATCGATTGCGTTCCTAAGCAAACACTTTACGGCTGCCTTATCTCCGTGTGGTTCAGTGGCCAATGTAATAAAATCCCAGATACATATATAGAAAGCGTTTTGGCCGTCAAGAGATTGCGGACCAATTGCCAACTGATGTGAAGTTTTGGTTTTGCAAGATAGAGGCCAGGCACGGGAATAGGAACCCCCCTATTCCGGGGACCCTGAGTTAATTCCCCGAAAATAAATGGTAAGGTTAGGGATAGATTTGGGTTAAAACCCCGTCGTCCGTCACCCATCGTCCGCAGCTATCACAGGTCCCCGAATCGAACAAATAAAGCACTTCGATGGATAAATTCTTCGGGAAACGGTAACAAACTTTATTCGTAAATT